AATTACTGATGTCAAAACTTAGAGGTGCCAATTACAGATGTACATAGTGGAGAAGATATGCAGTCCAAGGATTTTAAGAGAACAATTTATGAAAAACATTTGTATGTTATAATAATAGTTGTTTTTTTTTAAACAGACATTTCTAATAAATAACATAGAATTATTGATTGAATCAAATGTAATTGGTGTTATAGGAAAATGACGAAAAAACGTTAATGAAACGATATGATTTTATCTGGTTTACAGACCTGTTTACCCTCAAACTCTTAAAATCGTACAATATCATCACAAAGTCATTTAATACGTTATATTCATAGTAAAAAAAACATACAGTATATACAATCTATACACCTCAAAATCGTACATTGTACGCCAAAATCGAGTAAACAGGTCTGGGTTTAAACTGCATGGACTATGACTTTATCTGGTTTAAACTGCATGGACTATGGCTTTATCTGGTTTAAACTGCATGGACTATGACTTTATCTGGTTTAAACTGCATGGACCAGGAAATGAATGCATCAGAACTTTACATTTTCTCCCTCTTTAAAACCAAATTTCAAATTTATTTTTGAAACTTAGATTATTCAATAATTGAAGGTAACAGGCAAGCTCATGCCATCAGCCACCATGGTGACAATGTCTGTCTCATTGGGCAAGCTACTGCCATCAGCCACCATGATAACACTGTCTGTCTCATAGGGCAAGCTACTGCCATCAGCCACCATGATAACATTGTCTCATGGGGCAAGCTACTGCCATCAGCCACCATGATAACATTGTCTCATGGGGAAAGCTACTGCCATCAGCCACCATGGTAACATTGTCTGTCTCATGTTTTAGAGAAAGTGGGTTTGAATCTTGTCCGGGGTCACTCCCAGTTATTGGTAAAACAGTTAATGGAATGGACACATCAGCCATAAAAGAAATTAGCCATGAAAGATATTAGCCATAACAGACATTTACAAGGATAGACATCTCAAACAGAAAAAGGTATTTATTAAGTTTTATATTTGTTGAAAGAAAAATTTAAACTGAATAATTTTTAATTTAAAATAATATGACTGATATTGTAAGCAAAAAATAAATAACCTATTTTATTCAATGAATTAACTCGCAAGCACACTTATTAGGTAAAACATAATTATTTTTAACCCTGTAACTGTAATAACAGCCAATCATCGGCCGTTATACACCTTTCTGTGGTGTCATAATTGTTTGCTAGCAAAATCATTATTAAAAATGCAAATGATTTAATTTATATTGGGGGGAAATCAATCTAAATAAATGAGTTTGTGCCCTATTTGCATGACCACCTGTGTATTTGCATGCTTTTATCAGGAATTTTTGTGTGATTAATTGGGTGTGAAGTTTTCTCAAATTTTTGGACCGCCATGATGTCTGATGCCGGCGGGGTCCCTCTTTAGATTGCAAAATCAACCCAAAATTTATTTATTGGAATTATTTCAAATAGATTAGAATGAACACAGCGATTTCAGAAATATTCCATGTGCTGGTAATGAAAGTATTAGCTCTAACGGTGATGGCGATATTTGAGTCAGATATTGACAATTTTAACCCTAAGGTTAGTCGTATTGTTACAGACAAATTGGTTTGGGAAATGGTGGAAATCGAACAGGAAAAATGGATGTAATAAATTCAAAGGAAAAGGAATATTTGAACTCATTTCCTGTTTCCCCCATGTATTTTGTATAACAGAAGTTTTGAAGCTAGTGAATGAAAAAATTTCACCAATATTTCATTTTTCAATATAAGTAACTACAGTGGTTGGGGTATTGCCGTCCTTTACAGGAACTCCCTTAAAAACAGTGTGGCCTTCTCAAAATCAGACGAGTTTGTTTCAATTGAGATGTGCAAGATGCAACTTAATTACGGTGAACAAGCGATGACGTTTCTGTGCATATACAGGCCACCTCCAAATTGGCAAAATAAATTGAAGATCTGTCAGTTTACTGTGGAGTTTATACAACTGCCTGACATGTACGCAACCACCAACAACAATGTCATCATAATCGTGACATAAACTGCCATTTTGACTCCACCACCGACAGCTACGTGAAGGCCCTAAAATCAGCTCTCGACACATACGGAATTACTCAGCTTATCAGTGTCCCGACGCAGAAGTGGGGTCACATCCTAGATTGGCTGGTTGTCAGAGAGGACTGCGCAGTTATGATCCGAAACCTCATTATTGAGGACAAACTTATTTCTGATCACTTCCCAGTCACCTTCGACTTTGACTTGAGGAAGCCCCGACGCCTTCTGCGCTCAGTAACATCCTGTGATCTCCAACAGATAGATCTAGTGGCCTTTAGATGTGACGTCGCAGCCCTTGTGTGCAGTGAAGATGACCCTGCTACAGACTACAACAGTGGCCTCAAAGTCATTTTAGACAGACATGCACCACTGTCCACACGTGCATTACGGACCGCCCTTCCGCCCCATGGCTCACGCCCGAAATTAAGGACGCGAAGCAGAAGCAGCGACGTGCAGAACACCAATGGCGGAAGTCGGGCTTGACCGTGCACCGACAAATCTTTGTTGACCACAGGGAACGAACCAAGAAGTTGGTCCATGCAGCTAGGACTGAGCATGTTAGTCATCAGATTATAGAGAGCAGCTCAAGCAAGGACTTATTTCGCATTGTGGGTCAGCTGACCGGTAAAAACAAGGCTACATCTCTGCCAAATAACATTGCTGTAGAAGAGCTGCCAGACGCTCTAAATTACTACTTTAATACAAAAGCTAAGAAGATCGGGGCAAAACTTGACAGTTACATCGATACTGCTCCAGAATTCTCACTCTTCAACGGCTCTCCTATGGGCGAATTTGTTGAGGTCAGTGAATCGAATGTGAGGAAAATCCTGGCTAATACCCCAAGAATGTCATGCTCACTCGACCCTCTTCCAGCAGGGCTGTTGTATGAATGTCTGGATGAAATAGTCCCCATTATCACTTGTATGACAAATCAGTCCTTGACAACTGGTATTGTTCCATCATCTTTTAAATAGGCAATAGTAACGCCACTATTAAAAAAAGCAAATCTTGACCTAAATGTGATTGAAAATTATCGCCCCATCTCTAATCTACCATTTAGATCCAAAATCTTAGAAAAAGTTTGGTCTCCGCCAACTCCTGGATCACCTCATTCAATGTGACTTGTTTGAATCTTTCCAGTCAGCATACAGGGGGCATCACTCTGCTGAGACAGCCCTGTTGCGCGTAATAAAAGATCTTCTGTCGTCTTGTGATGAGGGCCAGGTATCCATTTTGTCTTTACTCAATTTATCAGCAGCTTTCGATATGCTTGACCATGGCATACTGCTCCAGCGTCTGCAAAAAAGTTCGGTCTCACCTATACCGTCCGGAGATGGTTTCACTCGTATATGACAAATTGGGTCCAGTTAGTTATTTCAAATGGCTTGACGTTGAAGCAATCTATAATTGAATTCGGAGTACCCCAGGGCTTGGTCCCAGGCCCGGTGCTTTTCACTATGTATGTTCAGCCACTGGGTGCAGTGATCAAGCAATTAGACATGCTGTATCACATGTTTGCGGACGATACACAACTTCATCAATCTGTGATCCCCTCTCAGTTCCCTCAACTTCTTAATACCACACAGAAGACAGTGGAGTCAGTTAAGCACTGGATGACCATAACAAGCTCAAATTGAATGATGAAAAGACTGAGCTGATCTCCATTGCCAATGCTCAGAAACAAAAATCTGTAAAAAACACAACATCACTTTCTCAGGTTTTCTCAAACAGTGCGAAACGTGGGTGTCTATTTAGACAGAACACTAACTATGGAAAATCACATTAACATGCTTTGCAAGGTGATTTTTCTAGAGCTGCGCAGGATTAGTCATATTAGACCTTTCTTAACATTAGTGTCTGCATTTGTGTTATCACGCATGGACTACTGCAATGCTCTCAAGGCGGGTCTTCCAGCTACGCTCCTGGATAAAATTCAAAGAGCACAGAATAATGCGGCTTGCATTGTTCTTCGCAAACGCAAATTTGACCATGCTAAAACACTTCTGAGAGAGCTGCACTGGCTGCCGGTTCGCGCTCGCATAGAGTACAAAATTGCACAATTTGTGCTACCACTGCTTACATGACCTGGCGCCATCTTATCTCAAAGCACTCATGACGCCTTATGTACCCACTAGTCAGCTCCGCTCATCCTATAGTGGCAAAATATCGATACCGTGTGTTCGCCTTGAGACTTACTGAAAGCCCACTTTTGCATTTGCCGGCCCAACAATTTGGAATGCCCTTCCAGTCGCTCTCAGAAACAGCCAGACACTGGAGTCCTTTAAAACCGATTTAAAAACACATCTATTTCACAAACACCTTCTGGGGTGATGCTATCTACCAGTTAATGTATATTGACCTGTGTTGCTTATGGTTGCAAAGGGATGAAAGACTTTGACTGGGTAGGCTCGTATGTAGTTTTATATTGTTGCGTCTGTTTTTTAAATGTGGTAAATTTTAGATTGTTTTTATTTCTCTTTTTAATATGGTTGACTTTGTACCGTGCTTCGAGCTTTTGGGGATGAAGCGTGTTTTTCAAATAAACTTTATTATTATTATTATTCTTTTCTGAGCGAATATTACTTCTGGCATCTCAAAAACTTTATTTTATGATAGTTTGAACAATTTATGGAGTATTAGTTTGGGTTGAATTCAGATTTTGAGAAGTAAAATTTTACTCACTCTGTAAAGGTCAAGGTCAATATCAACATACATAATATAAAAACAAAAACTTTTCATATAATAAGATACATTGTTTAATGTACTTTCAGAAAATGTACACTTGTAAGGGCCTCTGAATTCATTTAGTCTTGAATTTTGTCATTTTTGACAAGCATGTGAAAATTCTAAAAATGGTTTATGCCATATGAAAATTCTAAAAATGGTTTATGCTACAGAAAAATGTTCTTGAAAGTTACAGAGTTAAGACAACTACCTTCTATCTATGCCTGGACAAGCTGACTGCCAATCTCATCATGACTTTTCTCATTCAGCTGTCTTTGTTGTTCATTCTCCAAGTCAAAAGAGCTGTTCTCTGCTTCCACCATCTTTAATCTCTCCAGTAAAAGCTGAGTCTTATCGCACACATTTCCCTTGCTATGGACCTGCCAGATTAACCAACAATGATTAGGGCTGTAGACTGGCATCACTGAATAATTGGTCAAATCAAGTGATAAAGTCATAAACAGTTTTTGTGAGAGATGTCAACAGTCTGGCCACAATTTGTTGAAAAAACTTGTTATTTTAAGATCTATGCTATGTACGATGTGCCAATCAGCTCTGGAGGTTTGTGAAGATATTTTTTTAAGGAGGTAAATGACAAAATATTTTATGAAAGAATTTCTTGACTAACATTTGACTTATTGTTTATACAATTATGTAAAATTGTATAATTAACATCAAATTAACTCTTTCCACGCCTGTTGACTGGAGGCTTTTGTGCCAATTAACTATCTTTGATTTAATTTCTTTGCCTATGGCTATCAATCCTACTTTTTATGTTCTCAAATGAACAATAGCTCTTCCTACTTCCTTTCTGGTAATTAATCTATTTTAAAGTTTTATCGCAGTCCAACACTTTTTATAATTAGTTTCTGTTAGAGTAGGGTGTGTTTACATTTGCTTTTTGAATAATTGCGATCTTTTTTTCAATTTGTGTTGAAACTGTTGTAAACAAAACAATGGCCATGCTAATCAGACCTACAAAGCTGTTGAAGACCATGTAGGTAGTCAAGTTTGCAAACAAAAGAGCTTTTATGCAAATTATTGATGCTGAAACATTGGACAATAACCATGAATCATTTGAATCTGATTCCAGTGATGATTTTCAGCTTTCTGATGGGTCAGTAAATGACTAATGGAAATAGAGGAGGTGATAATAATAGTAGTGACGGTCGGAACTTTGGTAAAAATTTCACAATATTTTTAAAAATATAAAAATACCACAGCTGTGTAGAGCCTAGAGAATGGATTATAAAAACACCAAGATCAACTTTTTTACAATGGCGACAGTGAGAATTCAGATAATACTACTCCAGTTCCTGCAAAGAGAAGTCGGAAATTAGGCAGAAAAGATGCAGTAAGAATAGTTTTTAAAGCCCAGAACCTTGAAACACTCATTTCCTTTAGTGCCCAGCTGCCTACCCTATCAAAGCCAGGGAAAAAGTCCATCAACAGCGCAGAGCGTCTCAGTGAAAATAAGCACCTGGTTGACTATGACGGGCATGATTGACAGTGTGCATCGGATGCACAGGAAGGCCTCATCTGTGTGTAAAGGAGTGCTTCAGAAAGGACCAGGCAGAAGGAAATTTGTACTAAAGTAAAACATTTTGTAAATAATGTGTTTGACATTAAATTGTGCATATATACATGTGCAAAGATTGACATTAACATTACAAAAATTTGTGTAATGTAAAATCCATTCTGATCAAAAATGGATACACTTTCTGATTATTGAAGCAGAATAGGATACCAGCTTCACAGACGATATAATAGTCTGATAAGTTCAGGATTGGTGTGCATTAAATATTTTTTTTTTTAAATATTGATCTTATAATATTACCAAAAAAACATATTGTCTTATTGTTTTATCTTTTACATATTATTATTTGCGGTCTAATTTCCTTTTAATTTGATATGAAATACAGCTATCTTGTTAAAAAAAGGGTATTCAAAATTCATTAATAGATAAGAGCACCTTAAAATATTTCTATTGGCCGAAAACTGGTCTGGCACAAACATGGAAAACCCTATGGCATGGAAAGAGTTAAAATGACTTACGCATTTGTAATGTGAAACTGTTATGTGTGTCGTCATACAGACAGAGGTGACCGAGGATTTTTAGCTTTGGGAAAATCCTTCGGAGGTTTTCAACTTAACAAAATTAATAAGTAAATATATTTTGTATTGATAACAAAAATTTCTAAGCCAATCCGCCCCCCAACGCCAAATTACCATGGGCCTAAATCTTCTTTTTATATCTCAGCCTCATGTTGTGTCTCCCTAACCCAGAATGCCAAATTACCATGGGCCTAAATCTTCTTTTTATATCTCAGCCTCATGTTGTGTCTCCCTATCCCAGAATGCCAAATTACCATGGGCCTAAATCTTCTTTAGTTTATTTCTCAGCCTCATGTTGTGTCTCCCTATCCCAGAATGCCAAATTACCATGGGCCTAAATCTTCTTTTTATATCTCAGCCTCATGTTGTGTCTCCCTATCCCAGAATGCCAAATTACCCTGTGCCTAAATCTTCTTTAGTTTATTTCTCAGCCTCATGTTGTGTCTCCCTATCCCAGAATGCCAAATTACCATGGGCCTAAATCTTCTTTTTATATCTCAGCCTCATGTTGTGTCTCCCTATCCCAGAATGCCAAATTACCATGGGCCTAAATCTTCTTTTTATATCTCAGCCTCATGTTGTGTCTCCCTATCCCAGAATGCCAAATTACCATGTGCCTAAATCTTCTTTAGTTTATTTCTCAGCCTCATGTTGTGTCTCCCTATCCCAGAATGCCAAATTACCATGGGCCTAAATCTTCTTTTTATATCTCAGCCTCATGTTGTGTCTCCCTATCCCAGAATGCCAAATTACCCTGTGCCTAAATCTTCTTTAGTTTATTTCTCAGCCTCATGTTGTGTCTCCCTATCCCAGAATGCCAAATTACCATGGGCCTAAATCTTCTTTAGTTTATTTCTCAGCCTCATGTTGTGTCTCCCTAACCCAGAATGCCAAATTACCATGGGCCTAAATCTTCTTTTTATATCTCAGCCTCATGTTGTGTCTCCCTATCCCAGAATGCCAAATTACCATGGGCCTAAATCTTCTTTTTATATCTCAGCCTCATGTTGTGTCTCCCTATCGTGCCAATGAGACTGCATTACTTTAAAAAAAATCTTTTATACCAATCTGTAAAAACACTGAATAGATAAACATCTACAGTTTAGCTCTTAGGATTGATCATTCTATAGTTTGATTAAAGGAGAAGCGTGCTGGCATAAGCATTTATTTCTACTTAGAATTGCAGATGCTTCCTCACTACCTCATGATTTGATGGATTTATATTAGTTGAACATTATTGTTTTAGAAATATGTAATGCATAGGCCTGACCTCTTTACTTTGAACTATGAGTACCAAAACCAAGACAGTACTTTGGGCATTTGGCAGTCAGTCCATAGTGGTGACAAGACCACTTTCCATAAACAAAAGTTAATAATACAATATTATTACAAAAATATATTAAAAGATAAGGTTAATAAAGATTATTTTATTGATCAAAATAAATGGAAATGTTTTTTATTACATTGAACGGTACATATTCATTTTCAGTACATAGATAAATATCTATTGTAGCCAACATTTTACAATTATAACAATTTAAACAAAACACAACTAAATGGTTTATATAGCGTAGAAATCAACTATCAATGAACTTTGACAATAAGGACTTAATTAGTGATAATTTACAGTTGGTAACCGCTTGAGAAGCAGGCTGGTAAATTTGAACAGACTGGGGAACAAAAGAATTTTTATATCTTTTGATCCTAACTTTCCATCCATCCATCCATGTGGAGCTACAGCCCATTTAGGGCTTTGGCCTGCCTCACTACTTCCATCCACTTGGATCTAACTAATGCTTTTCTTTTCCATGCTTAGATTTTCAGTTGTTGTAGTTCTTTTTCCACATCATCCATCCACCTAAGCCTAGGTCTGCCTTTGAGCCTTTTTCCTCTGGGGTGTTGGTGATGCACCCTCTTCATTCCTCTGTCATTTGGCATTCTCTCTAAGTGTCCTGCCCAGTGTAGCCTGCCCCTTTTTATTTCCGCTACTATCGTGGGATCCTGATATAGACTGTACAGTTCATGGTTGGTTCGTATTCTCCATCCATATTCATCCTTTGTTGGTCCATATATTTTCCTGAGAACTTTCCTCTCCCATGTGTCTAATAGGTTTTCTGCCATTTTTGTTAGGGTCCAAGTTTCACTTGCGTATGTTACAAATGGTCTGATTACAGTTTTATAAATAGTTTTCTTTGTTTCTCTTGTAATGTTTTTACTTTTGAGTATTTTCTGACTACTGAAGTATGCCCTGTTTCCTGCTGATATTCTTTCTTTTATTTCTGTTGGTAATTTGTTTCTTTCATTTAATAAAGATCCTAGGTATTTGAATTGATTTAATTTTTCAAAAGTCTGGTTTCTAATTTTAAATGCTTCATCCGTTTGTTCTTCTCTTATCATGGTCATGCATTTTGTTTTTTGGTTGTTAACTTCCAGCCCTGCTTGTAGTGATGCATCTTCTAATTCAATAAAGGATTTTGATATGTCTTTAATACTTTTCCCTAGCAGTGCTATGTCATCAGCATATGCAAGATACTGAAGAGGTTGGTTGTAGAGTGTGCCCATTGGTTGTGGGTCTTGAGTTTCCCTCAGAGACTGTTATCGTTCCACGAGTGACAATGTATATGTTTCTCATAACTCTCTCTAATGTTAGGTTAAAAAGCATGCAAGACAGTGAGTCTCCCTGTCTTAGGCCTCGTCTAATCTGAAATGCCCTTGAATATTCTCCTATAACCTTGATTTTGAGTTGTTTAGTTTTACATGTATTAGTATTGTCAGTTTGTTGGGTATTCCAAACTCCTGCAGAGTCTCATATAGATATTTTCTTTTGATGCTGTCATAGGCCATTTTATAGTCCACATAGATTTGATGTACTGGTATATTATATTCATAGCATTTCCTTAATAGGCATCTGACGGTGAAAATTTGATCAGTCGATCAGTTTTGCCTGAATCCACATCGGTAATCACCTAGTATTTCTTCAGCGTAAGGTTGTAGTCTTTTGGCAATAAGCTTTGTCAGTATTTTGTATGTTATATTTTATAGGGAAGATTCCCCTGTAGTTTGTGCATTGAAGTTTGGAGCCTTTCTTGTGTATAGGGGTTATTATATTATTATTGCTGTTTCCCATTCTGTTGGAATTTTCTCTTCTTGCCAAATTTTAGTTATAAGTTTATGTATCTGAGTGTGTAGTTCTTTTCCTCCATATTTAATCAGTTCTGCTGTGATAAGGTCTTCTCCAGGGGCTTTGTGATTTTTCATATAATTG